AGAGAGAGAGTGATCGAGCGCCTATTGCAGACGGGGAGGGGAGGGGAGGGAGTTCAGAGAGCCTCTGGGGGACGAAGAGTGAGAGCAAGTGGACGACCTGACTGAGTGTTTGCCCTGTGGACTGACACACTGGTTGATTGACAGGAGGAGTGACCGGGCACTCAGCGTGGCGCGATGGCAGGTAGGCGAGACGAGCTCCACCTTCATCATCATCACTTCACTGCACCATGAAGATTTCAGCAGCCTCCACTTTTCTTCTTTCCCTCCGCCGGCCTCCCGTTGTCCATCTCGCCGTCCCTTTCTGGCAGCATCACACACAGCCCACCCCCTCTGCATTTCATCATCCATATCTTTCCATCCATCTCCCCTCCATTCTTCCTTTTACTCCCTTCCCTCCAGGCTTCTTCCTCCTCTCCATCCATCCCTCTGTTTTTGTCCACTACCCTCCTTCCTCTCTCTCTCTTTTTCCGTTTCCTTATAGCAGCCATGTGTCTGTATCAGCCGAGTCATGTCAGCTGGTTTTTAAGTAACACTTCACTGTACTGTGTGTGTGTGTGTGTGTGTGTGTGTGTGTGTACAGTCACTCGCTGAATATCAAATAGATTTGGTTTATAAGGAGAATAATGGAATACCACTGAGGTGTAACCATTGTTATGGTGTGTGTGTGTGTGTGTGAGATAATTCAAGGGCAGACTGAAAAGTAGCCGGCTCTGCAGTGTTTTTAAACAGGTGTCCTGACAGCAGAGGAGATGAAGGTGAACCCTGCTGATCTCTCATCTCTCTGTTTACCCTTTCTTTCCTCTCCTCGCCTGTTGTGCATCATTCTCTCTCTTCTTTCTCTTCAGTATATAGCATTTAATGTGTTCAGTTGAATGTAAAACATGATGCTGAAATGTAAGAGCATGTTACAACTCAAATTAAACATGCTAAATGTTAACAGATTTTACAGGCTTATATATATGTTTATGGGGTTTTATTATGTTTTTTGTTTTTGTATCAGAGAGATAGAGAGATAGATACTTTATAGATCCAAAGGGAAATGTAGGCATCCAGTAGCTTGACACATACAAAAAAATGATACTCACTGGAATAAAAGAAGAATAAAAACATAAGAAAAACAGTGAAGTGATTCTGTGTTTCACTCAGGGACAATAAAGTTAAAGTTGGGAACATTACATACCAGAAGTTAGCATCATAACACTTCAATGATCACATGACCAGTTTTGTTTACAGTACAGCCAGGCTCAGTTCAGGATCAGCAGCATTGCACACAGACATACAATAAACAAACAAATAAACAACTGAGTGTGTGTTAAACATGTCATGCTGAATTCAGCATGTCAGCATACAGGAGCTGTTAACGTGTGATAAGTTGGTAAATCTCAGTAGTAGCAAAGAAATGGTGAGCATATCTCTCTTTGAATTTGTGTGTCCATTAACAAAACAAAACAGGTTTTGTGGTTTGACTAGTAAAGCCTAGCGTTAGGCAGTGTAGCGTTTGTAACTGTCTTCTTCCAGGTCCTTTCATTGGATCCCTGTAACTGTCTCCCCGGCTCCTCCTCACTCTTTTTCTTTCTGTTTCTCTGTTCAGTTCAGTGTACCTAATAGTCACAGCAGTTTAGATAAACACGACAATTGCCATATTTAGTTATACATTAATCATTCTCCTCTCTCTTTCTCTCAGTCCTTTCTCTGTTCCTTTCACTCTCGATCTCCTCCCACCTACAATCTGTCCCCTCCTACAGTTAATGACTGGTTCTTATGTTTGCTTCTCTCTCTTTTGCTCACTCATTCACTGTTTTAATTATTTGGACCCATTCCCCTCACCTGTGTTCTATTATAAAACATTATGTAATGTCATTGGAAGTGCTTCATTGCTCTTTTGTTACAATGACTGTGACTGTTTATCTGCATCATGTAGCTGACACAGAACAGGCAGTAAGAGGAGATTTTATTTGTGTAATATCAACCTTCCGGAGGTGAGGCATCACTTTATTTCTATACTTTTAATATACAAAACATCCATGGGAATAATATTGGCTTTGCATAATCAATATACAGAATATAAATTAGCTTTCAAATGGGTCATTGACTCTGAGTGCATTTAGAAGGGAGGGAGACCCCACACACCTTTTTCAATTGTAATTGAAACAATACAGAGTTTACATGAATTGTTAATATCTGTAAAAAGCAGAAATGATGAGGTAATTTAATAAAAAAAATTAAAAAAATTATGTCAGAGCACAGCCTCCATTTTTGGTGTTGGATTTCTGATATTCACCAAAAGCCTAATGTCATTTGGATAAACCATTCTAAACTACTACATCAGATAAATTAGCAGGAAGTTGGAGACATTTAAGAAGGAAACGATGTCGGAGGCTTGAGGTGATCTGACATTCTGCTGCTGGTCCGTCAGGCACTTCTGCCATGCAAATCTCCCCCAAGCTGGATTTCTGTATGTAAATCTGAAGCTTATTTTCCCTGTGGCCCCTTCCTGCCTCATTTGACTGCAAGATGTGATACAGTAACATCAACAGGACTCCCTGTGTCCCCCAGCTCAGCTTACAGCGGTGAACTGATGCATGCTGGGAGCAGTGTATCGGCTCGCGCTGAAGCAGTGTGTGACCTGTAAAGCCAGTTTTGGAGTGCAGTGCTCTTTTACTCCAAGTTTAAAGTTAATACTTTAAACTGTTGCAGCTCAGATCTTTGAATCTTGTGCACATGATGAGTCTGACCTTTGCATTAAAGATAATGAGGAGATGGAAGTTCATGGTAGATATTACACTGAATGGGTTTACTGTGTATTGGTAGTTGGACAACCATTAAAGTCTTCAAATCGATTCAATGAAACAGGTTTTTAAAGGCTGATTCTGATATGTTTAATTGTCACTACTGTAGGTAATACTGTAGCCATTTTATGACAGGATTCAATACCTAATTTGGTGTTTTTCATAAATAAGTATTCATTACGTACTATAATAATTGTATATGTGTAGCTGTGGCCAAGGAGCAAACTTCATCTCAACACATTATTGTTTGATCTTGATATCTGCTCCCCAGTTTAACTTCTTTTGAGAAATATAAAACCAACAGGTGTAAGGAATTTGAAATGTAGAGAAATCCCATATTTTCCTTATCGAAAGAAAGCTGCATGTACTGACTGACAGTGTTGAGTAGAAGATAACTGCTCTCTCAGTTGATGTAATATTTAAAATCCAATCTGTATTTGTAATCATTGTGGCAGAGCTGGCTTCATAACTGAGAAGGGACAGGGTTTAGAATTTAGGACGCAAGAAGAGTGGAGATGTTCTGTTGAACCGTAAACTTGTTTTCGACTATCAGGTTGTAATCTGTTGGGCAGCAGAGTAATAATCCGCACTGGGCAGTTTGCCTTTGATAATCTAGTCGGCGTGGGAGGATGGTGGCCGATTAGGCTGGAAAGAGTCCAAGATAAGAGGCATAAAGGCAGAGGACGGAGGGATGTGAGGAGGCTGAAATAAAAGGCAGATTTTGCTGGTTGATCTGCACCGGTTTGGATGAATGTGGTGAGCCTTCACTGTATTTGATTGGTTTTTTAATGCTGTTTAACAGTAGTCTGCAGCTACACTGGCTCTGACATACTAACATGCTCTTACTGACAATGCTAACATGCTGCTGATGTTTACCAGGTAATATTTACCATGTTCAAGCTCATAGTTGTGCTAATATTTACTAATTAGCTCCAAAGATAATGTACAGATGGCTGATGGGAGTGGATTTAGTTTTTCAGGCATGTGGTCATGGAAGTATTTGACAAATGGACATGTTAATCTGACATTCGTAAAGCCATGCTGCTGCTGTGGTTAAATTAAAAGAAAAAGAAATGACTGTATTCTATCATTTTTGACTTTTTAATCCTGTCCCCTTGTGAAGTTTTCTTGTAAATATTTATGTTTACAATCAGTGTTTCTCAACAAAATACCCCAGTGTGTATCCTCAAGGCTAAACAAACATGCTGAATATATTTCCTTCCTCATAAAACATTTGCAACAAACTGCATCATTCACATCCGTGTTTACATCAGCTAGCAGTCCTCTTCTTTTTCTCACATTGCATTATTGCCCTCCGCAGACTCCACAGAGCACCTTTAAATCTTTAAACAAGGATGTAATGAAGAGGACAAAGCTTTGTTTCTTTATCTGCAACTCCGTCTCCATAGCTCTTTCAGTTTTTTTGTTTTCTCCCATGCTGTCCATACAAAATAACCACACAGCCTGGCATCTGGTGTTGTTTTCCTTCTCATAGTTTCTGACTCACACTCACACACAGAGTCTAAATTATTAAAAGCAGTCAAGTTTCCTGCACGCCCCCTGAGAAACTCAAAACCACTGATTCACAAAGCACAAGCAGCAGTAGCCGATATCCATAACGCTCTCCCAAAGCAGCTGTTTGTGTCCAAATAAGTGAGCCCAATGTTCAAATATCCAGGTACCAGTTACTCATAGGATCTTATACTTTATTTCACTCTGTCATCTTTTCATTATCTCTTATATGCTACATACACAGGTTGTTCTTCATTTTGTAACCAACAGTAAGTCCTCGCTGCAGTTTTCTTTCAGCACTCCTAGTCCATAAAATCCAGCATTTGTCAAACTGAACTGTGATGTCTTTTTCCTTTTGTTATATTTCTATTAAAAGTGTTTAAAGCTGCATGCAATATGTTTTTCAGTAAACTAATAACGTAGTTACTTTTATCAGTGTTGTACTTTACTTGTGTCACCAAAGTGTGTTATTATTTATAATGAACAGAGGCAACAGGTTGTTACCACTGCCCATTGGGACCATTTGTAAACTGCACTGTGAGCTTTAGGTCCCAGCAGCTGAAATTTAAAGTAGAACCCTCTCTCCTTCTGTCTAGATGACACGGTGTCGGCCAGTAGTAACATGGACATGGAGGACCGGGTTTCACACCTGGAGCAGAAGCTGCAGCTGCAGGAGGATGAGATCCAGCTGCTGAAATCAGCTCTGGCTGATGCCCTGCGCCGACTGGGGTACTGTGAGGAGCAGAGCCTGGGGATGCAACCGGGAGGCGTCCATGCTGCAGGCAGGAGACCTCTGGCCACCAAAGCTTCAGCGCCACCTACCAAGGGTAAGAAAGGTAACTGGTGAACGCCAAAGTCCTGAACCCTTTCTGTAAAGCTGAAACGTCTTCTTGCTGTTTATGTTCACTGTTGACTAAGATTTAAATGCTTGTCTACCAATGTGATGGATAGTACAATTTGAGCAACCATTGAATAACAACATGTCCCATGAGTCTTAGTTACTGGCATTCTGTCAACCCTAATTGGAGCTGTAGTTGTTGAACGCTAACAAAGTAATTGTTGTTTAATCTTAATTAGCCACTGTACTACTAGAACTGCTGTCCTGTCAACACTAATTTGTATGAGATTATACTTATTTATTATTTATTTATACTTATTATTATAATGTCCTATTGTCACAGTGGAAATAGCTCACCGCTCCTCAAAAACCGTAAACTAAAGGGATGCAATGAAAGTTGTCGGTGGCCTTTCAATGTACTGTGTGTTGCAAGTGTCATGTCAACAGACTATAGCAGTCGCACTGCCTGCGTGAGTCATGTGTCTCAGCTGCGGCCCCAGTGACGCTTCACTACAGTTCCCAGCAGAAATAGGGTGAAAAGGGTCTGTTCAAATTCATACTGACAAAACTAGCAACATTTACACCTTTCACTACAGTTTCAATGTCTTTATCTGTAGAATATGTCACAGACATGGAAAAAAATAATATAAATGTATTTTATAAACTCAACAACTCCTGTTTCTGTTTCGTATTAAAAGCTCTCTTCCGTTTCTGTGGACAGAATCCATTTATATGTTAACAGGGCTTTTATTGTATGGTATTTGTCTAAGGCAAACTCAGTATAGAAAGATAGAGCTGCTAGCAGCAGCCACGCAGCTGACAAGCTGTCGGTGGAAACACCTCGCGCGTGTCAGACACAGCTGTTCAGCACCGTAGCCGTCACGCACTGTTTAGGTAGAGAGTGTGAACCAAGTGCTATACAAAAAATCTTTAGGAATTGTCCTCGGTGACATGTATCTAGAAACTAGAAATTAAAGTTGTACTGCACACTGTCACAGAGTAGGAACAACATTACCTCACCTACCGTACAAAGTGACAGTCACTGTGCTGTACATCAGTTGTTAATGAAACTGTCAACAATTAATGATGATTTGTGGCTTTTCAGTGCGTCAGCTCCTGCAGGCTCTTCCCTCCAGGCCTCTGAGTAACGGCTACGTTCAACAGAAACGCCTCCTCTCCTCCCCTTCCTCTCCTAAGAAGGAGGTGCTACAGTCCATCAAGAGGTATACAAAACACAAACAAAAACAGAAACGCTGCCACAAATATCCCACTCGATATCACATTGTGTATTATTCCTGCTTTTACACTTAATGTCAGGAGGGAGATTCTGGGGTTAAAGTAACAAAAACTGTGTGATTGTGGAAAGTTTTGAACACAGATTTCCACAAGACAACATGTGATTTACTTACTTTTATTTATTTATTTATTTGCAATAATATGTCCTTTTGTTTGTCTGCTTCTATAATTTTGTTTTCACATTGCCCAAAATACAGGGCTGAAATCTGATGGCTGTTGGTTGTCATTTATGTGATGAAAGGTAAATGACCAGTGAGTTTTTTGCTGTGTCATCCCAAGATTAATCAGCCGTCCACATTCCTTCACATTGCTCTCAACCTTCACACATCTGTCACCGCTAGTTTCATTATCACAAGACCCCCATTTAACTGGGGGAATGAATTAAGACTGTAACTTTATTTTTAGCAATGTTCATTAAGAATAGAGGTGAAGAAGGGTGAAGATGAGTTTCACATGTCAGAACATACTGATTTAAATGTTGCTCCTCTCCTCTCCTCTCCTCTCCTCTCCTTCAGGAAGAGTATGTCCACAGAGCGTCTCACCGTGGTGAGGAGAGAGATGGGAGCAGAGAGTCGAAGTCGAACCACCTCCTCCAGCAGCTCCTCTGGAGGCAAAAGGTAACGCCTTGTCCAGTGTGATGGTGTGTATTATATACTGTGTTTATACATTCACAAACATCTCCTAATACCTGGCATATTTCTCACTATTCTGTGATACTAGAAAAACTATCATCAGTCGCAGATGGCAGAGGCAGATGTAACAGAGAAAAAAAACAAACTCCTCATTTTCTCTAACAAGCATGTTTGTGTATCGTGGGGGAGTTCACTGGGTCACTTTAGATTGGTCTAATGGGCTGTCTTACCTCTCAAGTTCTTTCTTCTGTCTTTCTATCTGTTGCAACGACACTCAGTCAGTCAGAGGCAGAAAGAAGGAGAGTGAAGAGAGAGAGTGTTTGGTTACAGCAAGAAATATTTGAGATATTAGATATTAAGAAGCCAGCTTTTAGATATCAGAGTACTTAACATGTTTAATACAAATGATGTCTGTGTTCAGATTGTAGTTTATTTGATGTGGAACCAGCCCTTAAAGTTCAAATCGTAACTTGAACTTGAGGTCAAAAACAGACAGGTAATTTTTCAATATGGCTTTAGGCCATCAAAGTCTTGTTGTTTCAAAACCTGCTCTGTTACTTTCTAAAAAAGTAAAACCTTAAACAGGCCTTCTCATGCACGTTTGCACAACAATTCTTTCGATAAGGAGGATGAAGTGAAGTGAATATTTGAAGTTGGGGTCTGAGGTGGAGATCCTGAACACTTTCCCTTCAATATCCATGAAATTCAGTGATGCCGCCCATGGAGGGGTTCTCCAGTCCGGGCAGTTGTGTGCTGAGGGTGAACAGGTTGTCTGGCAGATGATTTGAGAGACTCCTCCTCACGCGGTGTAACTACTGCTTCAGTAAACATGTCAAATAAGCTGTGAGTTTGGGTCGTTAAATGCAGTTCATATTTTGTGAGTA